TCTATATATCCCCATGGGAATCAGGAGTGGTGGCCCATGCCTATGGGAAGCTGAGGCAGGAGGATCACCATAAGCTTGAGGCCAGTCTAGGCTACATGGTGAATTCAAGGGCAGCTTGAACTATATAGAAGGAACTTTTTTTTTTTTTTTTTTTTTAAGTTTTTCCATGGAAACAAACAAAAAAAGGAAGAAGTAGCACATCAACCCCACGCACACCCATCCACACAGGGCCAGTCCTATTTCATCTGTCACTATCTGTTTTCCTCCCTAGTCCATTTAGGTCATTTTGAAACAAATGCTGGACATGGTGTTTTGTTTGCAGATGTTTTAGTGTCTGACTCAAAACGATAAACTCTAATGACAATCACAAAACCATGGCCCTGTGTATTCCCAGTGATTCTCACCAACATCCAGGCAGGAGGACTGAGACCTGCTGGGGGCCCACAGGAACAGGGCACTTCCTGGGGCCTGCCCTGGGGCTCCCCTGGGCCTTTGGAATGGGAGTGGGAGGGACTGGAGGGGAATTCCACAGGCAGAGTCCCAGCTGCCCCTTCCTACTGAGTCGGAACACCAATGGGAGGGGCCAGAGATTTTGCCTCTTTTCAGTATTTAGAATTAATACTAATTTTATTAAAGGTACAAATTTAAAAAATGGGCTCCTGAGTTTGACTTATAAATCTTATTTCTAAATCCATTTTTTTTTTTCTTTTTAGAACTGGAGCTTGAACTCAGGCCCTTGCGCTTGCCAGGGAAGTGCTTATTCCTCTGAGCCATCTCCCTGGCCCCCAAATCCATTGAATTTTAACACTGACTTTTGAAGTAGCCTTTTATTAGTATTTGGTGTCATTTATAAAACTTAAACTTCACTGAAATATTTCAAATTTAATATAGTCTTTTTACTTAATGCTTTTAACTAGTAGAACTTACCTAAGTATTTAGAATAATATGAATCTTATAAATTTATAAATTCTGTAAATCTTACATTCTCAAATATTTCAATTTTTTTATACACTTGGTAAAATATAACTTTTGTGGGGAGAATACTTACTTAGGATTAAATCCAGGGGCTATCTACCACTAAGGTACGTCTCCAGTCCTTTTTATTTGTTTTATATTTAGATAGAGTCTTGCTGAGTGACCCAGGCTGGCTTTGAATTTGCTAGTCCTCCTCCCTCAATCTCCCAAGTAGCTGGGTTTACAGGCATGTGCCACTGTGCCTGGTTTATCTTAAATGTTTTCAACTTTAAAAACAGTAAAAACTCTGAACTCTAAAATTAACAACTCTAATACTCATACTGAACCACAAAGCAGCATTTTGCTTGTCTTTGGTTTCTTGAGAAAGGGTCTTACTAATTGCCTAAGGTTGGCATTGAACTCACTGCTCCCTATGGAGTCCTCCTGCCTCAGCCTCCCGAGTGCTGGGATTACTGGCATGTGCTATCAAGCCCAGACTAAGGCACCCCTGGAACAGCCAACATCTAGGACAATTTTGTTCTAACACAAAGCCTGATTCGCATTTTATGATTACTCTGCAGTGGGAGACTCCAGCCCCATTCTCCAGCAGGGTACGCTGTCCCACAGACCCCGGTCCCTGGGCTGAGCTGTGCCCTGCCAACTAGAGCAGCAGAGTTAAACTCAGAGCACAGGGGGCTGGGGAAATGGCTCAGCAGAAGAAGGAAGTGCTTTCCTGGCAAGTGCTGCAAGGGCCCGAGTTCAATCCTTGGTTCTGTCAAAAAAAAAAAAAAAAAAAAAAAAAAAAAAAAAACCCCAAACCTTAGAGTACATGTCACTGTGTTTTTCTTTTAAGACAAAAGATATTAATAGAATTGTTTAGACCTTTTTTTTTTCTAAACTAAAACCTCACATTCAGGTTTAATTGCAGTGTTGGCACTTTGTGATAAACAAGTGGGTTTTGGGAGTTGCTGTTCC